AAGCCCATAGTTTCCCACTTCAGATATTGATCACTCGGGAAAAAAACGCCCATAGTTTCCCCCTTCAAATATTGACCGCTCGGGAAAAAAAACGCCCATAGTTTCCCCCTTCAAATATTGATCACTCGGGAAAAAACGCCCATCGTTTCCCCCTTCAAAAAAAAACCGCTTGGCAAAAAACCATAGTTTCCTCCTTCAAATATTGATCACTCGAGAAAAAACGCCCATAATTTCACCCTTCAAATATTGACCGCTCCGGGAAGAAAAAACACCCATGGTTTCCACTTCAAATATTGACCGCTCGGGAAAAAACGCCCATAGTTTCCCCCTTCAAATATTGACCACCCGGGAAAAAAAACGCCCATAGTTTCCCCCTTCAAATATTGACCATTCGGGAAAAAACCGTCCATAGTTTCCCCCTTCAAATATTGATCGCTCGGGAAAAAAATAGAAACGCCCACAGTTTCCCCCTTCAAATATTGACCGCTCGGGAAAAAAAAGCCCATAGCTTCCCCTTGAAATATTGAGCGCTCGGGAACAAAAAACGCCAATAGCTTCCCCCTTCAAATATTGACCGCTCGAGAAAAAAAAATGCCCATAGTTTCCCCCTTCAGATATTGTTCAGTCGGGCGGGAAAAAAAAACGCCCATAGTTTCCCCCTTCAAATATTGGCCGCTCGGGGAAACAAAACGCCCATAGTTTGCCCCTTTCAGATATTGACTGCTCGGGCAAAAAAACCCCCATAGTTTCCCCCTTCAGATATTGACCGCTCGGGAAAAAACACGCCCGTAGTTTCCCCCTTCCAATATTGACCGCTCGGGAAAAAAAAAACGCCCATAGTTTCCCCCTTCAAATATTGACCGCTCGGAAAAACGCCCATAGTTTCCCCTTCAAATATTGACCGCTCGGGAAAAAAGAACGCCCTTCAAATATTGACCGCTCGGGAAAAAAAGCCCATATTTCCCCCCTTGAAATATTGATCACTCGGGAAAAAAACGCCCATAGTTTCCCCCTTCAAATATTGACCGCTCGGGAAAGAAAAACGCCCATCGTATCCCCCTTCAAATATTGACCGCTCGGGAAAAAAAAGAAACGCCCCTTCAAATGTTGACCGCTCGGAAAAAGAACGCCCATAGTCTCCCCCTTCAAAGATCTTGCAAGCCCCGCCAGGAACATCACCCCTGTGGGGCTTGCTCGCTCGGGAAAAAACCCCATAGTTTCGCCTTTCAAATATTGCCCGCTCCGGAAAAAGAAACACACCCATAGTTTCCCCTTCCATAGGAACATCACCATAGTTTCCCCTTTCAAATATTGACCGCTCGGGGAACAAAAAAAAACGCCCATAGTTTCCCCCTTCAAATATTGCCCGTTCGGTGTTTCCCTTGTCAAAAATCTTGCAAGCCTGCCAAAAACATACTGTGGGGCCCGTTGCGGAAACAAAACGTCCAACTTTGTTCCTTGGGTTAAGGTGTAGGGTTTTAGGGTTTAGGGTTCAGGGCTTCGGGCTTGGGTTTAAATTCGGGTTTAGAGTGAGAAACTGGAGACCACAGAAGGGATGCGTCACGCGAGCACTGCCGGCGGGAAATGGACAACCCTCCGTCCTTCTCAAGTGACAAGAACCTCCAGCCACGTCATTCCAAACCCTGAACCCTGAACCCTAGACACACTGAACCCTAAACCCCCAAACCCCCAAACCCTAAACCCCTAAACCCCTACACCCCTAAACCCTAAACCCTAAACCCTAACCCTAAACCCTAAACCCTAAAAACCCTAAGCCCTGGGGCTTGAAAGGGCCATGCAGCCCAGCAGCACACGCCCCAAAGAGCTCAGGCAAATCAGGATGCTGCGCATACCTGGGAGGCACGGGTGTCGCCCCAAAGCAGCTCAAAACCCCCCCAAAACCCCCCCCAAACCCCCCCCCAACCCCCCCCCAACCCAGTTCATGGCGCCTCCCTAAAAAACTGAACTTCAGGGGTAGAAGTACTTCTGAACTTCAAGAGGGATTCGGGCCCGCAGGGCGCTCAGATTGCTTCCAGGGCAACCCCAGTAAACCCTAAACCCTAAACCCTAAACCCTAAACCCTAAACCCCAGTAAACCCTTTTCAGAAGGAAGCTTCGGCTCTGAGTTAGATATCGAGGGGCCATCGCCATGCGGTGTGGTGTACTCGTCGCTTTTCGACACTGCCTGCAGGTGGCAGAGAAAGGGTTTAGGGTTTAGGGTTGCGGGTTTAGGGTATAGGGTTTAGGGTTTAGGGTTTAGGGTTTAGGGTATAGGGTTTAGGGTTTAGGGTTTAGGGTTTAGGGTTTAGGGTTTAGGGTTCAGGGTTCAGGGTTTAGGGTTTAGGGTGTAGGGTTTAGGGTCGTCAAGCACGTTAGCTAGCCTGAGAGCGAGAAATCTGCTGAGGCAGTCCGGGTTGTCGGACATTGGATTCACAATGTGGGCTCAAGGGCATGGGGCGCATGGAGCCCGCTCGGTGTGACTGGATGTCAAGAGTTTAGGGTTTAGGCTCACACAGAACACTCTTCTTTAGCACACTGAAGATTCGCAACGCAACCCTAAACTCTAAACCCCAAATGCTCCGTGAAGCCTCCTGGCAACCGCTTCCCTTCCTACCTCAGTCGTCTCTACTGCCCCGAAACTACTTTGGGTGAAGGGGTTTCGGGCTTGGGATTGAGGTCTCAGGGAATGGGAACCCGGACTGCTGCGCCTCTGCGAGGTAGACACCATTCCCTGCAGGCAGAGAAGGGAATGAAATATGCCACCCTAAACCCTGAACCCTAAACCCTAAACCCTGCCACCCTGAACCCTAAACCCTGAACCCTGAACCCTCAACCCTAAACCGGCGGAAGGGTTTTTTTTTGCAAAGGTGTGGCTCGGTCATGTTTCCTTGCAAAGGTGTGGCTCGGCCTTGGTTGTTAGTTCGGGGCTGCGAATACTGTAAATTGCAGGATTTCTGCGTTTGCAGAGGCTGCAAATACTGTAAGCAACAGCATTTGTGCGTTGCCAGAGCCTGCAAATACTGTAAATAGCGGCATTTCTGCGTTGTCAGAGGCTGCAAATACTGTAAAGGCAGCATTTGTGCGTGTCCAGAGGTCGCAAATACTGTTGCTAGCAGCATTTCTGAATTTGCAGAGGGGGCAAATACCGTAAATAGCAGCATTTTTTGAATTTTCAGAGGCTGCAAATATGGTAAATAGCAGGATTTCTGAGTTTGGAGAGGCTGCACAGTTGAGGGCTTCATCTCGGCAAGCATAAGCGGCATTTCTGAGTGCTGCAAATAGCAGCATCTGCGCGTTGCCAGTGTCAGAAGCTGCAAACAATGTAAATAGCAGCATTTGCTCGTGTCCAGAGATCGCAAATACTGTAACTAGCAGCATTTCCGAGTTTGCAGAGGCTGTAAATACTGTACAAATAGCAGCATTTCTGCGTTTTCAAAGGTTGCAAAGACGGTAAATAGCAGCAAGTTTAAACCCCCCCCCCCGATTTGCAAACACGATGCTCGCATGATGGGTTTCAGACAACATGTTCTTTCAAAGCTCTGTGCGTCTAAAAAGGGCGGGGGGGTTGGGGGGGGCGCAGCCCCCCCCCCCCATTTTCAAACACAATGCTCGTATCATGTGTTTGAAAAAGAGTGTATGACTTGTAACAGGTTTTGCAAACACAGTGCTCGCATCATGTGCTTGAAAAAGACTGTACGGCAAAAAAGGGTGGCAGCCTTAAAAAAAGCGGGGGGGTTGGGGGGGGGGGGCGCAGCCCCCCCCCATTTGCAAACACAATGCTCGCATGATGGGTTCGACTTTTAACCCCCCTCCCCCATTTGCAAACACGATGCTCGCATGGGTTTCAGAGCTTTTGTGCGTCTAAAAAGAGCGGGGGGGTTGGGGGGGGCGCAGCCCCCCCATTTGCAAACACAATGCTCGCATCTTGCGTTTGAAAGAAGACCGTACGGCTGAAAATGGGTGGCAGCCTTAAAAAAGAAGCGGTGGGGTTGGGGGGGTCGCAGCCCCCCCCCCCCCCCCCCCATTTGCAAACACGATGCTCGCATGATGGGTTTCAGAAAACATATAATATGTTTTCTGAAAGCTTCGCACGTCAAGAAAACCGGGGTTCAACACGGTGTTCTTTGAAGAAAGCTTCGCACGAAAGAGCGGGGTTCAACACGCAGCAAAGTCGAGCCAAGCCAATCCGAGGCGAGCCAAGCAGGCCAAGGCCGTGCCAAGCAAAGCCAACTTCAGCCGAGCGAGGCAAGCCGAGGCGAGCCAGGCCAAGCCGAGCCGAGCCGAGAAAAGCCTGGCCGAGCAAAGCCGAGCCAAGCCAAGACGAGCCAGGCCAGGCCGAGCCAAGCCAAGCCAAGCCAGGCCAGGCCAAGCAGAGCCAAGCCAAGCCACGCCTTTGCAAGGGGACACACCTTTGCAAGGGGACAGGCCCGAGCCACACCTTTGCAAAACAAAAAACCCTGGGCCCCCCTAAACCCTAAACCCTAAACCCAAACCCTAAACCCTGCAGATGCCGGGGGAGTAGAGATTCAAGGCTTCGGGCTTAGAGGTTCAGCCTTTGGGAGCTGAGGCTTCCCAAGCCTGCATCCCTCCCCCCCTAGGGGTTCGGGTTTAGGGTTCAGGGTTCAGGGTTCAGGGTTCAGGGTTCAGGGTTCAGGGTTTAGGGTTTAGGGTTTAGGGTTTAGGGTTTAGGGCTTAGGGTTTAGGGCTTAGGGTTTAGGGTTAGGGTTTAGGGGAAACCCTGAGAATTTTGGGAGGAGCCGAAAAGTAGAACCCCCAAATAGTACAGCACCCTAAAATGCTGTTGGGTCATTCTTCGGAACCCTTAGGGGATCATCCTCCCAGGGGTCGGGGTAGGGTTTATAAGGCTTTGTGGTTCCGCATTTTCAAAGTCAAAGCATTTATTAATCAAGCAGCTCGGCAGGCGACAGGAACACACGCGCCCACCCATTCCCACAACATTAGGAAACCATTCCACTTTACATAGACTTCCTCAAGCCAGCTTACATCCAATTCAAGAAGCCTGAAGCCCAGCAGGCCCCTAAACCCCCCAAAAGCCCAAGGCAATTGGGCGCCTGAACCGGAAACCGAAAAGACCAGGGGCCCCAAAACGCTAAAGCGCATGGCCCAGTAGGCCTTCTGCTCTCTCTCTCTCTCTCTCTCTCTCTCTCTCTCTATATATATATACATATATACATATATATATATATATTTACTTATTTATTTATATTCATAAGTGTGAAGGAGAGACTTCGGGTTTAGGGAGAACCCTGAACCTGGAACCCTACAGCCCTAAACCTTCACTCAAACCATTTGAGCCCTATTTCGACCTACACCCCTGCCCCCAGCGCCTCAACCCTAAACCTGCTAAACTCCCTACAAGACCTAAAGATGCTAGGGTTGAGCCTTAAACCCTAAAGCCTAAACCCTTAACCCTGTGGAGGGCTGGGGGTCCCCAAGCCGAGCGCCCCGCCATAGAGGGTCCCAGCATTGCTCCCTGCCAGATTCAGCCGGAAGTCTCCTACCACGCGACTTTCAGCTTGCGAGTTCTGATTAGGGTTTAGGGTTTAGGGTTTAGGGTTGAGGGTTGAGGGTTTAGGGTTTAGGGTTTAGGGTTTAGGGTTGAGGGGTGAGGGTTGAGGGTTGAGGGTTGAGGGTTGAGGGTTTAGGGTTTAGGGTTTAGGGTTTAGCCTAGGGTTTGGAGGACACAAGGTGCCCAACTCCCAAGAAACCCCAAAACCAGTTTGGGCTTAGGGTTCGAGGATTTTGGCCTTGCGGTTTAGGGGCGGCGCTGGGGGCATTCTCAAACACAACGAAGTAAGCCCCCACCCTAAGCCCTAAGCCCTAAGCCCTAAACCCTGAACCCTAAACCCTGAACCCTAAACCCTAAACCCTAAACCCTGAACCCTAAACCCTAAACCCTAAACCCACCGGGTCCTTCTGTGATCCCCTCCTCGCCGGCCAAGGAGGTGCCATGATAAAGCCAGTGCTCATTGGCCACCTCGGCTTCCCCTGCACTCTACGTAAAACGGGTTTTAGGGTTTAGGGTTTAGGGTTTAGGGTTCAAGGTTTAGGGTTTAGGGTTTAGGGTTTAGGGTTTCGGGTTTAGGGTTTAGGGTCTGGGGCTTAGGGTCTGGGCTTAGGGTTTAGGGTTTAGGGTTTAGGATGTAGGGTTTAGGCTTTAGGGTTTAGGGTTTAGGGTCTGGGGCTTAGGGTTTGTGATGCGCGGTCTAGGGTGAAGGCCCCCCGGGGCCGTCTAGGCCCTTTACGCCCTCGAAGCCCGATATCCTACAGTCTTGAGGCCATGCTGCCGACTTCTCACCGGCCACATGCCAGTCCGGCGCCTCGCCTTTTGTACATGGGTCCTTAAATGGCCAATTGGGGGCTTCTAAAGATTGGCTTCTAAAAAATGGGCTTTAGGATCTCGGGTTACCTATTTGGGGTGTGATAATTTGGGGTACGCAAGGAGCTCAGTGAGAGAAGGTTTGGGGTCTGGGGCCCAGCGTTTTGGGGTTCGGGCTGCTTCTGAGTAAGCACATACCACTACGCAGCCCTGAGCCCAGAGTGCATGGCGTGGTATGCGAGCAGGCCTCCCGCCTGAAGTCTCTAAACACAAAACCACGAACCCGAAACCGATGCACCAAAGGGGCACCTAGAGGCTAAAGGGCTTGGGGCTTGCTGTTTGGAGGCTAAGCCCTAAACCCTAAACCCTAAACCCTAAACCCTAAATCTGCTTGGAGTCTGTCTTCAGCTCCCCCATCCATGCCGAGCCCTTGTTGAAGAGGTCCTGGCCACGGCGCGCTGCGGAAACTGGGGACCCTACACCCGGGAGTCCTGCGGTCTAGGGTTTCAGGGGTTGAGGGGTTGAGGGGTTGAGGGTTTGGGGTTTAGGGTTATTGAGGGTTTAGGGCCTCAAGCACCAGAGAAGGAGCAAGCTTCGCAACCGCTTGTGCCACCTCCCTGCATTCTAGCACCCAGATCTGAACCGCCGAACCTGAAGCTGCAAAGTTTGGGTGTTCAGGGTCTCAAAGCCCGACTGCTGCAAACCGGGTCCTCTTGGACGCCCTGCCGCCGTTTCGCATACTCACCCCAGCTGCCGCAGTTGAAGACCTTCCCAAAGCGGGCTGATGTAGATGATGGGACCGGTTTGGCTGAAAAAGCCAGCTTTCAAGCGGATGCTTCGGGACTGTCCACCGGCATGCATGCCTAAGCCCCCTAAACCCCCCCCTCACGACCCTAAACCCCAAGTCCCCCAAAGGGACCTGGCCTGCTGCACATCCTTCACCTGGAGGGCATCCGGCACAGATTCCCCATGCCGATCCCGGGTGTAGATGTGCAGAAACGTCGCCTCGAAGAGGCCTGCGGCTGGGGGAAAGGAGACGAGGGGGCCTTCTGGGGCTCCGCGCGACTTGCTTTCAGGGGAGCTTGGAGTTGACGGGCACTTAGGGATTTAGGGACTTAGGGACTTAGGGCTTGGAAGGATTTAGGGTTTTGGGTTTCGGGATGTAGGGTTTAGGGTTGAGGAGGTAGGGTTTTAAGGGCGTAGGGCTCGGGGAGTTCAAACCCTCATCCATGCAAAGCATCCAAGGCAGGAAACACAAACCTTAAACTGCCCATGTCTCTCGTATTCCCACACAGCCTCTCGAAACCGTCATGAACCACCCTAAACCCTAAACCCTAACCTGAACCTAAACCCTAAACCCGCATCCCAGGCCCTCAGCCTGATCATCACGCCTTCGGTTCCGCCCCCATCGTTTTAACAGGGTCTGTAAGAGCACCCAACTCCCCCTCACTACCCCAACAGAAAAAAAAACTCAAGGTCCTGGATCCTTGAAACGGAGGCCTAAACCCTAAACCCTAAACCCTAAGCCCTAAACCCCCCAAACCTCAAGGAACCGAACCTTGACCCTCGACTGCAAGCTGTCTGGAAGCCTTGGCTCGGTGAAGGTTTGGGGTTTCAGGAATCTGGCAGGCAGGGTTTAGGGCTCAGGGCTTAGGGCTTAAGGCTTAGGGCTTCGGGCTTGGGGCTTAGGGCTTAGGGTTTAGGGTTTAGGGTTAAGGGCTTAGGGCACAGGGTTTGGGGGGGCTTAGCACTTGGGGTCCCAATCCCCCCTGCCCTGCCTTCGATCCACTGGAACCAAACATGGTCGTTGGGCACCTCTTTCCTTGCTGGGGTGTTTAGGGTTTAGGGTTTAGGGTTCAGGGTTGCGGGTTTAGGGTTCAGGGTTCAGGGTTCAGGGTTTAGGGTTTAGGGTTTAGGGTTTAGGGTTTAGGCTTTAGGCTTTAGGGTTTAGGGTTTAGGGTTTAGAGCTTAGGGCTCTCTCTTCGGGAACCCTTAGAACACGAGCCCCCTGCGCCGTCCACCGGGACTTTGTCAGGTAAAAGTTGGTCGTTTTTTCGGCTAGACCCTAATCATTCGTTCGCCCCCGTAAACGTTGTAATCCTTCCTTTACCATAAATCGTTGTCTTTGTTTGCCCTACATCGTAAGCCAAAAACTTGCTATAATTTCTTCACCCCCTAATCCTTGTTCGTACCCGCAGCCCTGGACCTTCACGTGTATCATTCCTGTACAGGGTTCCCTAAACCCTGAAGCTTGACATGACATTGCTCTAGACTCTAAGCCCTAATCCTCAAGCAGAGGGGGGGGGGGCGGGTGCAGGGGCAGGCGATGGACCGCTTTTGCGGGGTCACTGTAGAAATCAGGAGCCGAACCTTTACGCATCTTAGAAGGCTTGATTCCCTTGTAGAGTCTGGAGTGCTCCGGCCTCTAGGAAAGCGGCAGAGCATTCCGGACACTGTCGAACTTTACACCAGCACAGAACCCTCACATCGACATCTGCACATGAGAAGAACAACCCTTAACCCCTCGACCCCTAAGCCCCTTAAGGCCCTTGACCCTTTTCTCAGCCCTCCATGCCGAAACCCCCGATTAAACCCGAAGCCCTGACCCTGCAAAGGGCACTTGAGCTTTCAGGGCTTCTGGGCTCTAAACCTAAACCCTAAACTCAGTAGGGCTCAGGGCTTTAGAGTGGCAGGGCACAGGGGCCAAAGACGAGACTCTTGATGACCAGGTCCCCGCCCGAGAAGAGGATGTCCGTTAGGCTCCCCCCTGACAGACCTCAAGTTTCCGTGCTTTAGGGTTTAGGGTTTAGGGTTTGGGGTTTGGGGTTTAGGGTTTAGGGTAGGGTTTAGGGTTTAGGGTTTAGGGTTTAGGGTTTAGGGTTTAGGGTTTAGGGTTTAGGGTTTAGGGTTTAGGGTTTAGGGTTTAGGGTTTAGGGGTTAGGGTTTAGGGTTTAGGGGTGTTTAGGGTTTAGGGTTTAGGGTTTAGGGTTTAGGGTTTAGGGTTTAGGGTTTAGGGTTTAGGGTTTAGGGTTTAGGGTTTAGGGTTTAGGGTTTAGGGTTTAGGGTTGATGGTTTAGGGTTTAGGGTTTAGGGTTTAGGGTTTAGGGTTTAGGGTTTAGGGTTTAGGGTTTAGGGTTTAGGGTTTAGGGTTTAGGGTTTAGGGTTTAGGGTTTAGGGTTTAGGGTTTAGGGTACCCAAGAAAGAAGGCCCGTAGTTCCTTGTTTTTGTTGGGGGGGGGTTAAACTGTTCGATATATCATATACAAGATGCAATATACGTTATACAAGAAAACCACATACAGTATACACAACATACTGACACAATATTTAACATTCGGTGTATGTAGTATTCACTATAGACATATGTGTGCACATATATGTGTATACATATATATATATATTCTCATTTTATGTATTTACTTATCTGTTTATGTATTTTGTTCACGTATTCACATACAAGCATAGTATACAAGAAGCAATATTATAAGTCAATACGATATAATGCCTCAGTATACTGCTCTCTTGATGTGGGTAGCTCGGCCTTTCAGGCCGGGGTTTGGGGTGCTTGGCCACGGCGGGGCTTACACCTGTCAGGACACTCTGAAAGTTCAGGGCTCAGGGCTCAGGGTGTTTAGGGTTTAGGGCTGAGGAAGGTCTAGTCTAGGGTTCCGGCAAGTTCTTTATGCAAGCCCACCCTAAACCATAGGATCCAACCTGTCGCTGGCCCTGTGGCCCTCGTCGTAGCCCTGCTCCGAGGTTCGAATTCCCAGATCCTGGACCCTAAACCTCAAGACCCGAATACCCTGGAGCTCCAAGGGCACGGCCTTCTCGCAGCAGGCCAATCAGATTCCAGGCTTCCGGGAGCTGCAGCTCTTTGCAGTACCAGGCGGCCACCTGTTTAGGGCTTCGGGTTTCAGGTTTTGGGGTTTAGGGTTGGGGTTGCAAGCCCTAAACTCGAGTTCCAAACCCTACAAACCTTAAATTTAGGGACGCTAAGCCAGAGGACCGGAACCCAGCCTTCGCCAAGTCGTCTGAACAGGTGTCCAATGCTGTGGTAGCCAGGCTCGCTGCCGCAGCTGGCCTCTGAACAAAGCATGGTTTTTTGCAAAACTCTGATGCTTCATACTTCGCCCTGTAAGTTGCGGGATAGAGCGTAACATTGAGGGTTCGGGGTCGAAAAAGTTTAGCGCGTAAGGCCTCAAGAACCCAGGATTTGAGGACTTGGGTCTGAAAACTGAGGCATGTCCGGGGCCCTTGGGCCATTTAGGCCGAGTTGCCTCTCTTCAGCATCAGACTCCTCCTCGCTGGCGCTTTTCTTCGAGATGGAGATCAGGCCGGCCAGCACGAACAGGGCATACCTGCCGGGCGCGTGTGCTGTCTCTTGCAAGATTTCTGAATGCAAGATTTCTGAGTGGGGATATTCTGTGCATTGTAGAAGAAAGCCGCTTGATAAAAACCATCTCCGAGCTTCCCGCTACGAGAGGATAGGCGCGTGCCTGACTGCATCCGAAGTCGTCAGCTTGTCAGTGACGGAGTCCTGGTGCTTGGGATGTGTAGGCTTTGAGACCATCATGCAGCAGAGGTCTTGAAGAGGGACTGAAACGGAAACGGCGCCATTCACAATCCGAAAGGGCCCAAACTTCAAACTCAAAAAGCCAAAACACAGCATTTATTCAAGAAGCGAAGGGCAATGACTGATAGACTGAGGGGCCCACGTGGGGGCTGCAGTCATCCCAAAACACAGAGACTCTCAAATATTAGGTCTTCTAATAGGATACCCTGACCGTTCAGGAGAGGCGTAGTTGAGTCAATGAACGCCAAGCAAGGGGAGTTCCTCAACTGACAAAGGGTGGAGTAGGCGCACGTGAAGAGGACGAAATCAACCTTCGGCTTTGCCTCGCCGGCGTCGCAAGCTGCCGCCGCCCACTTCAGCCTCCCCCCGCAACCGGGGTCAGAGGCTTCAGAGAGGTTTGGACGTGTCTTGGGCTTCGGGTTTAGGCAAACTGTCACTCGGACGGTCTCACCTCCGTCACTCACTGTACACACTGCACCATCAAGATCATGAAATAGCGAAATGCAGTCAGAACTACAATTCGTATGCTTATCGAAATCATCCAAAATGCATGGTCGTTATACTTGGTATTAGTAGTAATTGCAAAGCATCCACTTGGAGACTCAACTGCAGAACAAGTACTAATTCTCAAGCCGGGGTTCGGGTTGAGGGCGAACAAGATGGGGTTTGGAGGTTCCCCTAAATCCCAAACCCTAAACCCTACACTCTAAACCCTAAACCCCTTTAGGGCGGAGAGTCTCGGACGTAGGGTTTAGGGTCGGGGAGTAGATCGACAGACCTTCGGAGAGTTCCCTCAACCCTGAACCCCTTAAACCCTTAAACCCCTAAACCCCGCAAACCTAAACCCTAAACCCTCAACCCAAAACCCTAAACCCTAAACCCAAGCCCTAAACCCCAAAGCCTTAAACCCGAAACCTTAGCTGCTCTTCCCAGGGCCTTGCGGCGATCTCGTGCGTCAGCAGCTCTTCGAGTTCGGGCCTTGTGCTGGCGAAGCTTTAGGGTCTCAGCTTAGGCAGTCTAGGCTTCGTTCAGGGTTTAGGGCTTAGGGTTGAAGGTTTAGGGTTTTAGGTTTCAGGTTTTAGGGTTTTGGTTTTAGGTTTTAGGGCTTAGGGCTTAGAAGTTAGCGGCTGCCCAGGCTGCGCAAGTATATCCGTACCTGGACCCCCAAAATGCCCAACCGGAGGACACCCCAAATACTCAACGTTGGGAAATCCGCCCGAATCTCTCAGAGAAAGGTCCCTTAGCTCTGGGAAGCCCTAAACCCTCAACCCTAAACGCTTAACCCCTAAACCCTAAACCCTAAACCCTTCAAGTATGGGGCTTTGGGCTCGGGATCCCAAGCAACCGAGTTGGAGGCTTTGAGCGCCTTTTGGGTCGACATGCTGAAGGTTGCCCACTCAGAAACCCTGCCTCGTTTAGGGTTTAGGGTTGAGGGCTTAGGGCTTCGGGTTTAGGGTTTAGGGTTTAGGGTTTAGGCTTACTACAATTCGGTTTCTACGGCCCCGAATCTCCGTCTGGCAGCACTTTGATCAAGTCGTTGACTGCCTGGGTGGTCTCGTCCTCCTTGTCCTCCTTGTCCTCTGCGTCCTGGCAAGTCCGCATATTCGGACTCTAGCGGCCTCGACGCTTAAACCCTAAACCCACCCGTAAAACCCCTAAATCCTACACCCCGAGACGCCTAATCCCTTAAACCCTTACGCCCTGAAAACCCTAAACCCTAAATCCTAAACCGTAAACCCTAAACCCTAAACCCTAAACCCTAAACCCTAAACCCTAAACCCTAAACCCTAGCTGTTCAGTCTCAGGGTAGGGAAAGGAGCTGGAAACAAAAGTCAGACCTTTGCTTTCACCCTACAGCCCCTCACTTGTAGGGTGTAGGACCCTATAACCTAAACCCTAAACCCTAAACCCTAAACCCTAAACCCTAAACCCTAACCCCAAGTTCTTAATCCCTAAACCCTAACACTTAGAGTTTGGGGGCGGGGCTTGGAAGAAGGGCTCCTGGAGGCGCAGGGGTTTAGGGCTTAGGGTTTAGGGTTTAGGGTTTAGGGTTTAGGGCTTAGGGTTTAGGGTTTAGGGTTAGGGTTTAGGGTTTAGGGTTTAGGGTTTAGGGTTTAGGGTTTAGGGTTTAGGGTTTAGGGTGAGAAGGCGCCAGAAGGCATCAAAAAGTCCATTCCACCACCCAGGCGTGGGTGCTCTAGAGTCCGACACACTGGGGCGGGAAGGGGTGGGGTTTAGGGCTGGGGGCTTAGGGCTTGGGGTTTAGGGTTTAGGGTTAGGGTTTAGGTTTAGGGTTTAGGGTCTAGGGTCTAGGGTTTTGGGGCTTACTTTGCTTTGGTTTCCAGAGAAACGGCTGAGAGGTCCTCCTTCGTCTCCCTGCCGCTGTTGACCAACTTGAGGAGCTCCCAGAAGTCCTTGGCTTTGGGGGCCCAAGGGATTTTTTAAGCGATTTTAGAGGATTTGGGGGGATTTTAGGGGATCTTCGGGGATTCTTCGGGGATCTTAGGGGATTTGGGGACTTAGGGCTTAGGGGGAGATAAGGTTTTAAAGGGGGTTCAGAGTCTTTAGGGATTTTAGGGTCGCGCCCTCTTGCGCCTAAAAAAAGGTTGAAGGGCCAGCCCTGCTTAGCACAGTACCATTGAGTAACCAACAGGTTGGGGCTTAGGGCTTAGGGGTGGTACTAAGGGCTCACGGTTGTCCGGCCCACATATCCCTGAGTTAAGCGCGCGTCCACAGCATCTCACACAATGCGGGCAGGTGCGGACTGAGTTTGGAGAAGCATCGCTCTTCAGGACCTCGCCCATGCTGCTGATGGTCTGAACCTGCTGAAGCTGCAATGCAAAATTTTGCAGGCGGCCTGAAGAGCTCAAACCATTCAATCCCAAACTGCCTGCACTGCCACGTTTGGGTTCAGGGTTCCTAAGACCCCACACCCCTATGCCTTAAAGCGTTAAAACCCTCAATGGCATTGCCAGAGGCCGCGAAAGCGCGCCAGGAGCTCAGGCTTCCGGTTTTCAAGGAAATGTCTCAAGGGCAAACATCCACTCAGAAGATTTCAAGGACGTAGGGCTTAGGGCTGAGGGTTTAGGGTTTCGGGTTTGGGGACGCTAGGGGGTCCGAATGCCGAAGGAAGCCATGAACCCTGCACACCTCAAAAAGGCCGAAGCGGTCGCCTGCACCTTGGTGCCGGTCTCCCGGCCGAGGTCCACACGAGGGTTCGCCTCCGCGAAGCTGATGGCCTCCTCGACCTTGGGATCTTGAACCCTAAACCCTAAACCCTAAACCCGAAACCCTAAACCCCAAACCCTAAACCCTAAACTCTGGAGGTTTGGGGTTTGTGGGCCTGGATTTCGAGCATTCGGGCTCCAGCGCGGCACAGCCCTGGGCCTAAGGCGTTGAGGCCACGCAGGGCTTCTAGGCGGCAGCTGAAGGGTGCTAAGCCCTAAACCCCAAGCATCCACAACCTTCAAGACCCTAAGCCCTAAGAACCCTAAGCCGTAAACCCTGAACCTTAATACCTCAAACCCTAAACCCTAAACCCTAAACCCTAAGAGAGCCCTAGGCCCTACCTGTTGGAGTGGGGGGGGGAGGGGTGGCTTTCTCGTGCCCAGCTCTGCCGGGCGGCAAACTGCCGCTCAACGGCTTCGCTCTGCGCCTTGAGGTCCTTGATGACCTTCAGGGTTTGGGGTTTAGGGCTTAGGGTTTAGGGTTTAGGTTTAGGGTTTAGAGTTTAGGTTTGGGGTTTGGGGTTTGGGGTTTGGGGTCTGGGGTTTGGGGCTTAGGGTTTAGGATGTGGTTTGGGCTTCTAAGGATAGGGCTCTGGGTATGGTACATGTCTAGGGTGCGGAGATAGCTGCCTCAGCCCGGGCTGCAAGTACGGATACGACAGCCTGTCTGAAGGACTTGAACCTGAAGGGCACAAGACCCGGCCTTCTCGAAGGAGCGGGAGACCATGTCTGTTGCTCGGCCCCTGACTGGCATTGTTAGCGGCTTGGCACTCTGTAAGTCGAGGTTGACAGCTGTATCCTGTGGGAGTTTACGAAAATGAGGGTCCCCTATAATAGACCCCGAAAGAGTAGGATCCCCTTATCATAAGGACCCCACAAGGTACCCCTAGTTTCGTTAGCCCCCATATCGAGAGAGCTCCATGGACTGTTGCGACACACCAGTCCCCTGCTGCAACCCTTGCGGGCAAGCATGTGTTCACACCCTGGCAGGGAGCAGCAAGGACAGGGAGCTTGCATCGAAGAGGGGCCGTGCTTGCTTTCATGAGAGAGGTGCGAGGGGCTTCGGAGATTCTTGCATGGAGATTCCCGGTGCCTGTCCAGCTCACGCGGGCTTATCGTCCGGATCTTCTCGAACTCCGTGGCCAGCCTCCCAACCAGGTAACTGCAGCAAAGTCCTCATGCCAAAGCAGCCTCAACCCTGCCACCTCCTGCAAAAGTGAGAATAAGAACAACCAAACGTCATGGTGGCGCGACCCCCATTGGAGTGTGAGAGCAGGAGTGGATGAGAGATGATGAGAGCGCCCTTGCTCGATGTGCGGAGAGACATCAGGGGCGCGCGCCAAATGTGCGGCAACAACGGTGCTGGTACGACTATGAGAAGTCGATGAACCATCCAGGGGGGCTGAGGTCAAGGCATATACCATACTCCCCTGGGAACCGCAATGAAAAAGAACAAGTTCCATATTTGTGTGGATTGTATATGAACAATAATAATGATGCGCAATTCCTAACGAGGAACATGGCTCTTCGGCCCTTTTAGAGTGTTGGGAGCGCCCTCATCCCCCGCATCGACCATGCGGCGGCCTCATGAGATTCAGGACATCCGAGATCTTCTCGCTGGTGACCTGGTCACAGACATCGGAGATGTGCTTGTACATGAGCTCCTCTGGCAAGGGGCCACGGGAACTTCACCCTAAAATCTCCAAGAGTTTCCTTGAAGAGGCTACACAACCTTCTTGCAACCCGCGAGGAGACCTTGACAGCCCTCCCACACCCCTGAACCCTAAACGCAAAGTCCCAGAAAAGTCCTAAATCCTAAACCCTAAACCCTAAGCCACAAGCTCCTCCAACGCACGGCGGGTCTTCTTGTTGTGCTTCGCAAGCTGCACGGGCAGCTTCCGCCCCGCCTGCACGGCTTTTGGGTTCAGGGCTCAAGGCTCAAGGCTGAGGGTTTGAAACCTTTGGGTTTAGGGTTTAGGGTTTGCGGTTTAGGGTTTAGGGTCTAGGGTTTAGCCCAAAATCTGCAGTCCGCTGAAATATTCAGCCCAAACCCCTCTGCCCAAGTCCCCCGCCTTGCCCCCAACAGGCTGGAATAGCGCAGGTGGGAAGGCTTCGGCCACCAGCAGCACGGTCTTGGTGTCGAGGTTCCTTCGAATCAACGTTGATTGTTCCTAAACATCCCAAGCCCTAAGAAAACCATGCTTGTGGGGTTTTTTTTGGCTTTTGGGCTTTTGGGTTGCGCTCCAGGGCTCTTGTTCTCGGCTGCATAGTGGACAGGAAGGCGCTTGGAGTGCTTGAGCTTCTTGCTGAGCTGCGTGCCCCACTTCGACGCGTCCACCTTCTTCCTGGCAGGTTCGGGAAACATGTATGAATTCTTCGCAATATCTAAAGACTGAAGGCCTGAAGCCGAAGGCCTAAACCGCTAAACCTCCCGGGCTAGCTCGCCCCATCTTCGCACCACGCTCGACAGAACATCATTCCTATCCTCCGCTGCCCGAAGACTAAGTCCACCCTGGACCCTGCTTGCCACCAATCTTCCCCATCAGGAACTCCACGAAGGCCGTCGCAGCCTCCGCGTCCTCCACCTGTGCAGCTGGTGCTGAGGGTCAGGACTAAACCATCAGCCTGCCGCCTCCGTGTCAGCAAACATACGCGTGGCTCTTTGGGCTCTCGTGGGGTAAGGGCTGCTGCCTATGGGAAGTGGCTGTTGCACCGCTTTGCGGTACCCGTGAAGTATAACTCCTTTACTCAGTAGACCTTAAGATCGATGCTTAGCCCCTTGGCCGCTCGTAAGAAGCGCTGAAGGTGAGGTTCGGGGCAAGTGTGCCAAATACCCAGTGCCAACAAGGAAAGCAAGCTTGAAAGCGGAAGGGTTTAGGTTTTAGGGTTTAGGGTTCAGGGTTTAGGGTTTAGGGTTTAGGGTTTAGGGTTTAGGGTTTAGGGTTTAGGGTTTAGGGTTTAGGGTTTAGGGTTTAGGGTTTAGGGTTTAGGGCCACCCAGCCTGGCAGGCAATGTGGATGGGCGCCGAGTTATCCCAACCAGGAAGGTCATCGGTCTCCTACAGGAAGACATGCAGGAGGTTAGAGTTCTCAAGGTCTGCGGACCTCGGACGACGCTAACTAAACTCACTAAACCCACCAAGCATCCACGGAAATCCCTAAACTTGAGAGGGCTCGGATTGAACCTTCCCCGAAGATTCAGCCGGACGCCTTAAGCTTTGGCATATCCGAAGTGCGCACGTTCAGGGTTTAAGACAGCAGCCTATCAGGATCCTACAGATGCTCAGTCCGGGGCTGTGTACTAGCACCCTTTTGGGGGGCCTGTTCTTTCATCCTCTGATGAAAGGCATACACAAGAAGATCCAGAGTGTTGCAACAACCTCCTCATGGCTTTGTCCCTTCACCTGTTCCTGAACTCTAAGCACCTTGCAAGTGCAACACAGCTTTCCGATCCCTAAACCCTAAACCCTGGGCCTAAACCCTAAACCCCATAGACAAAGGCTGCCACACAGGACTGAAGCCTCCCTACTGGGCTCTGAATAAAGGACCAAGTTTCCACAATCGGGTACATGGCATGAAAAAATTGTAACTTCAAGTCTTGGCAAAAATTGGCTTAAGCTCCTTAACAAGAAGCCAGATACTGCTAGATACTGCCACGGCTGCTACCCCTCATCACCTCCTTCAGCCCTGCGAGTTTGGAACCTGAGCATGCTACGCGGATGCAGCCCAGGCTGCCACCCCAACACATAGAACGCAGGTGGCACGTGAGAAAGGTGGCAGCCCAGGCATCTGTATGCCTCCTGACTACAGACCATGCCCCTTTGGACATGGTCATATGGTCCCAAATTACTTTGTGCATAAGAACCTGAGCTCCCGCCTGATCATGGGGCGGGTCTCTTCTGTGCCAGTACTCAGAGCTTGCAGGCGACAAAGGGCCCATCTGCACAGCCGGTTGTACAGCACTGTGCGGTGTCCGTTCCCTTGCCACAGCAGTCGGTCCCCGGTGTGCAGAGCAGAGGGGCATCCGTGCGGTTCCGGCAGCAGATCCCACCAGCAGCAAGACACGTGCCACCGCAACAGCTCGAGCCGGCCATGCAGCACTTGTTCCCACCACAGCAAATGGAGCCGGCCGTGCATCTCATCTCACCACAATCAAAGCTGCCATCATCACCCGCCAAGCCCACAGCCTTGCTCAAGCCCCTTATGGTGAGGGGCCGCTGATAGACGAGGCTTCCAAGGCTTCCCACGAGAAGCAGCAGCACGGCGAAGGCAGCGGTGCGGAGAATCCAAGCCCGGGTATCCGTCCGGCGCGGAGCGCCGTTGTCCACCAACAACTCGTCCTCGGCCTCGTCCATGGGTGGCTGTGCCAGCAAAGACATGGAGGCAGCGCCGGCGGGGTAGGCAACTGCAGGAGGCACTGGGGCAATCTTTGACCACCAACGGCTCACATGGAGACAGCGATCGCCACTTTGGACTTCAATATATCTTCAGACTGGATTCAATGGCGCCTCTCAGGTTTACGAAGACAGACTCTAACCAGTCATGGTGGCAGTAGTCATGGTCGTACTAGTGGTAATAGTATCAGTGGCAGTCCCGCAAGTAAGGATATAGGGCAACTAACTCCCCAATCACGCCACCTCCACAGTGGACGTCTCGTTGAAGCTCTCGTCCTTCATGCCTCAGTGACCAAGAAGATGTGCAAAATGAAAAATGGCTAGAGAGGGCTTGGGGCTTCTGGGGCTTACATGTCCTCTAAGGCTTAGAGGGCTTGTGGGGCTTACAGGGCTTAAAGGGCCTGCAGGGCTTACAAGTAGGGTTAGCTTTGTTGGATCAGAGCTTCTCAGTTTTTTCGGCAAGTCAATAAGGGGCGGTCCAGGATGCTGGCTGCAAGGACATCGAAGATCTTCCTGGCGGTGGCCTGAACCGGGCGCGGAATGAGATAAGGATTTCTGCTTGTTTTCGGTTGCGTGCTTTTCGCCTAGGCCCTGTGCCGAAAGAAAACAACACACACACACACACACACACACACACACACACACACACACACACACACACACACACACACACACACACACACACACACACACACACACACACACACACAAAAAAAAAAAAAAAAATCCTTTCACAAATGGAATCCCGCCTGAACCCCGGAGCCACCGGCTCTATGCGTTCTGAAAGGACCCTAAACTTTAACCTTAAACCCTTAAACCCTTAAAAACTTAAACCCTTAAACCCTTAAACCCTTAAATCCTTAACCCCTGAACCGTAAACCCTAAACCCAAACGAGCTTGTTTTGGGACACCCCGCTTGGAAAGAGGGAAGTACGCAGAGTTGGCTTTCCACACTGGGGTCCACCTTGAGGACCCTACCTACCAAGGCAGCCTTGCAACGAAAGACTGGAGGTGATTCCCTTTGCTGCTATTGCTGTTACTGTTGGTACTATTGGTGTTGTTATTCCTCTTGTGTTTCTCATTGTTCGTACTCTTGTTGTACTTCCGTGCTCCTTTCCAGGGCCTCTGCAAGGACCGGCCTTGTCGCTCAGGAGCGCGGCGCTGCACAGCAGCTTCCCGTTGCCTCTCCGGATTTGCTGGGGGCCGCAGTAAGAACGACCCAAGTATCCGATGTCTCTGCCAAGCCCTTCACAAGGGTTTCTGGGTCTCAGAGAACTGGCCATGTACTCTTTTTGGCCAGGTGTTTGGGGGGTTCACTTGCTCTTGTGTGTTCGGGGGTTTAAGGCCCACTTACCAGCCCAAAAAGCCTGGGATGTGGTAGTTGCTCGCCAGGTCTGTCAGGGTGTCGACGTCGCCATCCATGACTAGCTTCAACATGGCGTCTTGAAGCAAGCCTGGGCCGTTCGGGTAGCGGCACCTCTACCTGGGCCAGCTACCAATTTAGGTTTGTAGACATGTGTATGTGTGTGTGTGTGTCCTAGATTCAGGCCCGAGCCAAAGGCCCATTTCAGACGCGGCAGCGCTGCACAATACACGTCCCAAAACTCGACGGGCAGAAAACAACAAAACCTCTGTTGCCCTCGAAGATCGGGACTTCTTTCAAAGTGCTCAAAAGGCAGCGCAAACCCTAAACCCTAAACCCTTTAAGACTGGACACCGCATCCACCAGCCACCAGCACCTAACGACCCATGACGACCCAGTCCCAGAAGCCGACACTTACTCCAGGGTTGAGGGTTTAGAGTCTAGGGTTTTGGGGTTTAGGGTTTAGGGCTTAGGGTGTAGGGTGTAGGGTTTAGGGTTTAGGGTGTAGGGTGTAGGGTGTAGGGTGTAGGGTGTAGGGTGTAGGGTGTAGGGTGTAGGGTGTAGGGTGTAGGGTGTAGGGTGTAGGGTGTAGGGTGTAGGGTGTAGGGTGTGTAGGGTTTAAGGGGCATCATGGAGGTTCAACGGCAAGGCGCCCGTGGAGAAGGTGTGCTTCAGACCCAGCGGGATGAGTGGGGCAATGCAGTCCCAGTCCCTCTTACCTGGTCGTTCGGATGTCTGCTTGCTTTAGCCGATGCCACCCTGTTGAACCCCAAACCCCTCAAAGCCAAAACCCTAAACCCGAACCCTAAACCCGAAACCCGAAACCCTAAGCCCTAAACCCTAAACCCTAAACCCCCCCCCCAACCCCCCAAAAACGAAGGCAACCAGAGCAGTAAAACCCCGAAGCCCCAAACTCCGGCGATGGGAGCGGTTCAACCCGAGGTCTCGGTGCCCTCCCTGAAGCCATGCGGAGCTCTACCCCTAAACCCTAAACCCCAAGCCCTAAATCCTAAACCCTAAACCCTACCCCTAAACCCCAAACCCAGCCCTCTAACCTTACTATACCCTAAACCCTAGCCCTAAACCCCAAACCCTAAACCGTTTCGGCACAGCACCGGCAGTGCGGGGCACCACCGGGATTTACAACGAGCGAGCGTTGACCACGGCTCCCACAAGTATCTCAACGCCCCGTGAGTGGGGCTAAACCCTAAACCCTGAACCCTGAATAACGAATTTTAGGGTTTAGGGTTTAGGGTTTAGGGTGAGGGAATTCGGGGTTCAGGTTTTGGAGAATTGAGGAACTCGGGCGGCCTCTGGGCGGTTACATGACAAAGAGAACATGAGACGGATTCGTGGCTGCACACACAAGCGGCCAACACTTGACCAACAAAAAGCAAAAAAAACTCCCAGAGTGAAAACATGAGATCCGAATCTCGAACCCTAGGGCTTCTGCGGCCTACTGGGTTTAGAAGGTTGGGGGGTTCGTGGTTCTCTGAGGGTTCTACCTGGGACCTGTGTACCCTTGGGTTTTGGGGGGTCCCTGTTTGAGGATTCCATAAAAGGGACTCTGAGGGCCTCATTAGGAGTACCTTTAGGGCTACAACCTTAAGGTTCCCCAAACAACAAAACTCTAAGAAACCCCCCCGAAACCAGAGCCTCAGACTCGCTCGCGAAACTTCAGTGACAATTTCTCCCCCAGCCAGGATGCGAAGAGCCATCATCAGAGGGTTGATCTGAGGGCACCGGCCAGGCTTCAGGAGGCTTCATTCAAAAGCCCACGGCCCCAAGTCCCAAACTTGGGAGTTCTGAGAAAGGGTTTAGGGCTTAGGCCTTAGGGTTTAAGGTTTAGGGAATACAGGGTACCCTAAACCCCTCAAACCCTTCGGGCTTGAGGGTTTCGAGTTTCTGGGGCCCCTTGCCGAAGTCCTCCATGCGCCAGAGACGAGGAAAAACAGAGGCGGTAGCAGCAACTACACTTCTGGGCCTTCTGGGGTTGAGGGTCTCTAGGGTGTATCGCGCAAGCTCCCAGCCCCAAAGAGAAATCGCTCTCATCGCTTCCTTGCACCTACAGGTCTAGAAGCTCCAGCGGTTAAGGGCTCGAAGGGTAGCTCAAGTAAAGAAATGAGAAATGAAAACGGGGCCATGGACCTGGACGCATGTTTTGAGGGGGGACATGAGTTTCGGGTCTAGGGCAATAGAACACCCAAAAACCCTTAGAAACGCTAAATCCGAAACCCTGGCCCGAGCCTCATGGTCCTCCTTGTCCACCCGCAGCTTGAACTCAAGCTTTACCATCAACTGCCCCACGGGAGATCAGAATGGAAACACTGTGGCGGGGGCGAAACAATCACTTTTCCCAGAATGTTTTGAGAATTTGGGCGTTTAGGATTCAAAGGCGATGTGCACGCTTGTGGAAGGTAAGAGGCATGTGTAGGCCAACGTGGCATGGATCAGCTTTCCAGGCATGGCTTCTCGTGTCCGTGAAGATGTGAGGCAACGAGCCTTTAAGTATTTAGGGCTCTTTTAAACGTGAAAACCCCTAAATGTGTTTTTTGGCTAACATGAAGTACTTCAAGCATGAGTAAGGCTAGGACGCGCATCATCGAGCTGCCCTCGGAACAAGACATCAGTAGAACGCCCTATGTCGGAAGTCTGCCATCCCTGCCATACCCAAACTGAGAAGTGAGTCGAACGCTGAGAAGCCCTGCCCCCAAAACCTCCGGGGTTTAGGGCATCAGGGGCTTCGGCGGTTGAGGGTTTAGTGTTTAGGATTTAGGGTCAAACCTTAAACCCTAAACCCTAAACCTTTTTTTTGGTAGACCGGCCTCGAGGATCTCGTGTTGGCCGTGCCTGCGCTTGGCGCACAGCGCTGCGACGGGCTTGAGGGTTTAGAGGTTAGGGCTTAAAGGGTTTAGGGGGTTTAGGGTTTTGGGTTTTAGGTTAGGGTTTAGGGGTTGAGGGTTTGGGGTCTAGGGTTTAGGGTTTAGAGTTTAGGGTTTAGGGTTTAGGGTTTAGGGGGAGAGCACAAGATTTCTAGCCTGCTGCCCCTGCACTAGAATCCCTTTCAAAGACCCCAAAAAGTCCTAAACCCCAAAGGGCTGTACCCTAAAACACGAAACCCTAAACCCTAGAAATGGCAAACCCCAAACTGACACCTAAGCCTTAAACAAAGCTAAGACCTAAATACGAGACCCTTAGCCCTGAACAGGGCTAAACTCTAAAATAACCCTGAACCCTAGATGGCTAAACCCTAACGTACGAAACCCTAGACGCTAAAAATGGCTAAGCCCCAACTAAGAAACCCTTAACCCTAAAAATGGCAAACCCTAAAAAAGCAAACCCTGGACCCCAACATGGCTAAACCCTAAAATACGGCACGCTGAGCCCTAGAACTGGCTGAAACCCCAAACCCGAAAAAGCTAAAAAAAACCCAAATGCAGAACCATGATCCCTGAAAATACCTAAACCCCGCAATACGAAACCCTAAACCCGAAAACTAGTTGAAGCAAAAAATCTCCAAACCCCTTCAGGGTTTGAACCCGTGAAGTACGAAGCCCTCAAAATGGCAAACCCCAAAAAAGACGAAACCCTAAACCCTAAAAATGGCTAATCCCAAAAACAC